CAAACCCTGTACATCCATAGCCAGGATCTCTGAGACTCCACAATCCGGTCTATAATAGAGGGGGTTATTTTGAAATACATTTATACATAAATTATTAATTATTGTTTCTCAGTTTATATAAAAATGACAAACTTTACAGCTTTTAGCATTTTACACACCCCCACGCACACACCCATCCGCGGAAATTTTCAGGCACTTTTGGGCTGTAACCTCCCATTTTTGGGGGTACTGTGCCTGAACATGCTCATCTCCCACTCACCTCCTGCGTCTTCACTCTCTCAGTGACATTAGGGTGTCCCCAGTAATATCAGACTCCACACTCCACTCCCTCCTTTTACTCACCCCCAAAGAAGGCACAAAATGAGTGCAACTGCCCTGGCCTTCTCCCTGGATTTCGTTGCAGTTTTTAACCCTTCGTTTACTGGGTGGAGTTTTTTAAATTTTTATCGGTTTTTCGTGGCATTTGGTCGACTTTTTGCCCTTTTTTTTGTACTGTGTTGTGTGGTTCGGTTTTGTGATGTGCATTCAGGTGATATTTTTGCTTCAGGGTCTATTGGTAATTGCTACTTTGCATAATTGTGTTGCACTCTGTAGTTCATTGTGCTGCATGGTTGTCTTGTCTTTACTTTTTTGTACATGTTCTTGTGTGCGGTGTGAGAGTTGTGCTGAGCTATGGTTTTCATGTGCTATGTGGCAAATGGCGATTTTTACGCCATTTGTATTGTTACTTGCTATTTGTGGTTATTGTCCTTTTAGTATGTAGTAGTTTGTTTTATGTTTGTATTGGTTGGATTGTTATTGTGTTGGTTTAGTCTATGTGGTGCAAGGATTTTTATGTTCTTTTCATAGGCTGTTAGTCCTTTGGGTAATTGGTGGGTAATGAATTAGTAGTGAGTGGTACTGCGGTGAGCAGTGGCGGTGAGTATTGATAGTCTGGTGGTCTAGTTAGGGCTGAAAAATTTTTTTCCTGTCACTTGAAGAGCTGACTCTTTGTTTCTTAATTGCTTGGCTGTGGACAGTGGTCAGGGTATTGTGGGTGGGAGGAGCAGCAGTAATAGTGTCATGTAGTGATGTGCTTGTTGTGTGTGAATTAGATTGGCTGAAAAGGTTTCCCCTAATTTGCATAATTAATTAGTCATTTGCATGATTGGTGTTCAGTTGATTAGTGGGTCTTGATTAGTAGGAGTGGTGGTAGTAGCACAGCCTTGTCATTCCCTAATTAGGCTGCATACAGTATAAACAAAAAGAGAAAAATAAATCTGGCCAGTGCAGCACTAGGGGTTGGTTTGCTCCCTGGGAGTAAATTTGGTTTTTTATTTTTTATGTTTTACTCCCAATGAGTAAAACATTCCCTACTGCTGCCTTTTTTTTTTTTTTTTTTGGCTGAAGAGAACTAAGAGCGGAAAAGAAAGCAAGAGAAGCAAAGAACAAAGTAAAGAGACAAGAAAAAAGATGAGACAAGCAAAAAGAAGCAAAGAAAAGAGAAAAGAAGCAAAAAGAGAAGAGAGGCAAAGAGAAAAGGGAAGAGAGGAAAAGAGAAAACAGAAGAGAGGCAAAGAGAAAAGGGAGGAACAAAACACAAACCAATAAAGAAAATACTCCTTGCTTCCCAAGCATGGCATCCTCTCCTAGAGCACATTTACCTCCATGCATCACTTTTTAACATTTTTATGGTTGTTCACAAGGGTCTTGAAGGTTGTTCATCCCTGTGCAGTGGGATGCAGGGATGGGAGCCAGTGTGATTTGCAGTGTCGCAGATTTTGTGTAATGCTGGAGGGTGCAGAAGGGAGGCAAAAGAGGGAACCAGCAGTATGATGTACTTGTCACCCTGGTGGTTGTGGCTGGCTCAAACACCACCTGTGAAGGGCAGGGAAGCCTCAGCATAATACCCTTATGCCAAGAGGAACCACAAGTGTCCTCATAAATTCCAGCATCCCATTATGATGGTTATTTTTATTACAGAATCACTCTGAATCTGTCACCAAACTGAGGGAGCCCCAGCTCAGCCCAGGGAGGTACCCCTGCCACGAGGAGCTCAAACAGCACTGATAGGTATGGGGGGAGGAAAACCAGTGCTCCCTTCCTCTTGTTACTGGGTTGCCCACGGGAAGGGTTGGAAGCAGGTTGCCCATGGAGCTGGTGGCAGAGATGCCTGAGAGTTCTCAGAGGAGAAGCTTGAAGCTCAGACTGATGCTCCTGCTTGGTGGCTGTGGCTGTGGCCCTCATGGCTGCATTGCTCGCTCTGGTTTCAGAAGTGGAAGCAACTGGAAGACTCCTTCCTTCTCCCACTGTTCTCTGCTTAAGAGGACACTGAGCGTGGAATAGCAAAGAATTTGCCTGGTGTTGCCCTCCTCTCTATCTCAAGCCATAGGGAGAATAAATCCATCTCTTTGTGCTCGGTGGCAAGGTGGAAGGTGAAGCTCTGCAGTAGTGTGGTAAGGAAAAGGAAGAGCTCGATGCGGGCCAGTGCCTCTCCTGGGCACATCCGCTTCCCTGGGCATGGAAAGAGGAGGGTGAGCACCAGCTGATACCTTCAGCCAGCATTAGGGGAAAAAGGGCATAGAGGGGCAGAAAGAATGCTCATAGTGAGGGTGCAGCTGGTGCCAACTGATGTTCATGCTGGCAGTCTCAGGTGCAGAGCTGCTGCAGCCAGAGTGCTGGGAGAGGTGAGGTGCAGGGGTGAGCACTGACCTGCTGAGAAGGCCATGAAGGCTTCATGCTTCCTGAACTCGCCCTTCTGATCCAAGAAGTGGGCTGGGTCAACATTTTTGGGGTTTTCCCACTGGGTCGGATCCGAATGCACAGAGGAAAATACAGGAATAACAGGTGTGCCCTGCAGGAGATGAATGGGACAGGGGAGTGAGGAAGATATGTCATTACTGTGCCATAGGGCTCTGCTGGTGTGGATTAGCCAGTGAGGGGCATCTGGCAGGCACAAGGGAGGCTGGGAGAGGCCCCAGCGCTCAACCAGGTGCCCATGTGGAGGCAGCCTGGAGGGCAAACAACTAACATAAGGCTCCACTGCCCCCATCGTCCCCTCAGTCTCTGCAGCTCATGAGACACAAATTATTGAGTTATTCCCACTGATTTATGTTAAAACCCCTCTTGTTGCACAAAGTCCAAAAGTGAGAGGTGTTCCTTCAGGGTGGATTCTGGACACAATGCTCATGGTCAGGCATGGATGGGTTGCTGTCCCCAGATTTGCCAAGGAGGAGGAACTGGCTTGGTCTCGCACCAAGGGCAAGCTCCTGCTCCAGCCTCAGCAGCCCTGCATGGCTCCCTGGTGGGAAGAGCTGTTTTCCAGGACAGGCAAGGACATGGGGGTTGTGGGCAGGACGGGTGGTGACATTCACCTCCCTCTACTCCTCTGCTAAAAGGTTATTGCCGCCTCCACCCACCAAGCATTGGGAAAGACCTGGGACCTTCAGACGTGAGCAAACAGTCCAGGGACAAACACAAATCTCATTCAAGCCCTGCTGCCACCCCTCCCTTGGGGACACAGAGGCTCCAGGGCCACCATGTCTACCTTGGGGATGGTGTAACCCCTGAACACAATGTCCTGTGTTGTCATTCGGGGGAAGTTCTCGATGCGGGTCTTGTGGAAGCGCTGCAGCTCATGGATCACCGCGTTAGTGTACGGCATTCTCAGCTTGTCCTCCATGCTGGGAGCACGGCCAGTGCCCACCACTGCGTCAATCTCCTCTTGGACCTTGGCTGGGGGACAGGCAGGGTGGAGTTGCAGTGCTTGCAGTGTAAATCCCCTGGAATTTCTTACTGGCCTCCATGGACACTTATCCCAGAGCCCAAGGATGGTCTAGCAGAGGGAGCAACCTGGCATAATCCCTTGTAGATACCAAAGATAGGTCATCTCTTTGCATCCCTCCCTGGATCAGGCAAGCTCATAGTCCAATCCAGGGCCATCTGCACAGGCAGGGGTGGAGTAAATAAAGGCAGAAGTACCTGGATCCCTCTGACCTGTGGGAATCTGTGTCTAATGGCTCTCACTCTTAGGTGGCCTACTAGGGATGATTTTGGTCTCCCCACAAATGGGACCCTCTGGGCTGTGACTCTGCTGCATCATGACCTCCTCAGGCACAAGGAGCAGCTGCGTTTTTCTGCCTGTACCTTGAATATGGGGGTGTTTTGCCAGCATCAAGAGGAAGAAGACCAGAGTGTTGCTGGTAGTCACTGTTCCGGCACCAAAGAGATTGAACACTGACATGATCAAGTCTTCGTTGGTGTACATGTTCTCTGGGCTGTTCTTCTCCTACAAGGATGATGTGGTGGGGAGGGGATTCAGTGTCACCTAGCTGATCTTCCAGGCTGCAACCAGATCTGGAGAGCAGACCTTGCCCCACTTTGCGCCCCCTTACCTTCTCCGCTTTCATCAAGAAACAGTCGATGTAGTCCCGGGGGCAGGTGGTGTCCAGCGTCAGCTTGTGAAACTCCACTTTTTCTCGGATGTGGTCCTTCAGCTTCTGGCACTCGGCCAGAGCTTTCTTGTGTGGCCCTGGGAGGTGGTGCATGATGTTGGGAAAGGTGTTGTAGACCTGTGGTTGGAGGAGGCACAGGAGGGCTCAGGTGCTGGTTGGAGCCTACCGCACCTATCCTCAAGGTGTTGCTGTCCCATCAAACCAGGGAGTGACCCAAAGCCAAGGAGCATCCCCAGCTGCGTGAGCATGTCGGACATTAGGGTGCTGAGCACAGCAAAGCTATCTACCTTGGCAATAGGGGAGAGGAAGAAGCTGATGTAATTCCCAATGGCATTCAGTAGCTCCAGAAAGGCTGCATCGCTGTAGCTGTAACGGTTCCCGAAGACAACAGAACAGATCACATTGGCAACTGCATGTCTGAACATCGTCATCGGCTCAAAGGCATTTCCTGCAGCCACAAGAGGCAAGAAAGGCATGAAAACATCATCAGTTATTTATCTGCTTCAAGACAGAAAGCACCCTTCCTCCCTCTCTGAGCCCTTTGAACTCTGAGCCCTGGTTGGATCTGCTGAGTCTGACAGCCAAAATGCAGAGCCCTCCTGAGCTGTGGGCTCCTACATCTACCTCCCTGCTCCTGCTTTCCTCCTCAGTGCACCTCCAGGCACTTTGGGCTCCTGCTGATGTGCCCTGGGGATTTGGAGAGCTGCAGAACATCTCCCTGTGGCAAGTAACACAACACCAGCACTGCACACCTAAGACAGCAGAGCCAGAGCCAATGTAGCACTGAGTTTCCATCTCTTCTTCCATTCAGGAAGCCCCAGAAAAGGTGGTGGCACTGGCAGGAGCTTGGTTTTGTTGGAGAAGTGGACAACATCCTGTCACCGGGTCAATATCTTAGTTGTGCATTCTCAGTTTAGTTCCCTATTTCTATTCTTTTGGCATGGAATGTTTCTCAGTGGTTGCCACCCACTGCACCAGTTGAGCAGGATTTCCCACCTGGCCCTTCAGCTGTGACCATACCACATCCCTGCAGCTCTCTGAGTGGGATGAGGTTGGGTCTCAGCCCTTCTCTACAAGAATCAACTGCACCAGCCATTGCAAAGAGCCTGGGGGACCACACATGTCTCATGAGGCTGTTTTGTGACCTCCACCTGTCATGGGGGACAGCATGGACAGGACCCACATCACCTTTGAGCCTTGCCAGAAGTTCCACCAGGTGCTGAGCCTCCTGCTGCACCTTCTGTGACATGGAGCTCTTCCCCATCCCGAAGTCCCGCAGGGTACTGAGCGTGAACCTTCGCAGTTCCCTCCACTTCTTCTCATTATTGGAGACAAATCCTGGACGGAGGAGTGGAGATCAGCTACCTGCCCACCTCACCACTCCTCCCCTTATTCCCGGGCAATAAACCCGGGAATGACCCTCCCACATGCATAGTGTCCTTGAAAGGATGATGATCCCTACAGAAACTCAGAACAAAGCTAGAGCCGCCTAATTGGAATTAATACTGTGTTGGACAAGAGGCTTAGAAGTTGAAGAGTCTTGTAAAGTGGTAAATGGGTGTTTGAGGTCTTGGGTGCTGAGCCCTCCACTAGATTCAGGCGTGGCCATCTGCAGCCATGGAGTCTCTGCTCACCCAGAGAGTGTCCAGAAGAGATCCAGGCACGTACCGTAGTCTTTCGATAACTGCATCAGGAGGGGTATTGCAGGTCTGCCCCCAAACTCCTCAGAGTGGCCCACCAGAGCATCCTTCACTGCCTCGTATCCACAGAGCACCACCACTGGCTTCAGCCCCAGCCAGACAGTGAAGATGGGGCCGTACGTGCTGCTGAGCTGGGGGAGGACAGGAAGCTCGGGTGAACCAGGGTCCCACACCCAATCTTTTGCTTCATTTTAAACGGGGTCTCAGGGCCACAACACTGACTGGGCAGGGAGGGGAAGTGCCTGCCTAGCAACTGTGTCCTGGCCCTGCTCCTTGCCCAGCCCTGTCCCTGTTCCAGGGAGTTCTGATCCCAGTGCCACTTTCAGGGTTCAAAGCATCATCTCTGGGAAGTGGCTGTGGATGGCTGCAGCCCTAGAGGGATTATTGTCACTGCATGGGTCCCTTACATGAGAAGAAAGACTTCAATAACTGCGTTGATTCTGCTCCCAGTAGCAGGGATTCAGGCAATTCTAGCAGAGCAAGAGAGGAAGGAGAGAAAAAGAGAAAATAAAGGTAGAAAAAGAGTCACCTGTGGAATTTCCCCTTTATTTTGGCACAGAATATTTGCACTCTCCCCTGCTGGGGCTGGGAGCAGGTCTAGCACTGCCAGCTGCAATCTTACCTTCTCATAGTGTCTATAGAGTGGCAGGACATTCTTTTGCCACAGGTTGCCTAGAATGGGCCACGGGGCTGGTCCAGGAGGCAGCTGGCTTCTCTTCATGTCACTTCTCCAGAGCAGGAACCACAGGATGATGATGAGGAAGACAGTAATGAGCACCCCACCCAATCCAGCATCCATCCTCACGTGCTGCCAAACAGGGAAAAAAAAAAGAAGAAATTGCCAGGAGAAAATCACAGCTAAGCGTGAGCAGAGAGGAGCTGAAACCTGCTGCGTCTGCCCTTCCTTGTGCTCTGTATCGGCACACCCCTTCCAAAGCGCAAGAGTTGTCTCCCCACGAGGTCAGTGACACAGAGACAGTGGTTCCTCCCAGCCAAGTGTACACCTGGCCCTGCTGTGCTGTGACACAGGTCTCAGAGAGCTGTTGTGGGGTATGGGGAGCTCAGTGGCACTCCCCTCCCCTTGTCACTGAGTCACTTTTTGCTTGGTGCTCCCATGGCAGAAGAAGCTGTCACTGTTCTGGCAAATTCTTGCATGTCACCACCAGGTCACTGACCGGTTTGTCACCGCCTTGCTTACGATTGCAGTGACCCAGGAGGTGACATTCTTGTAAACAGAGACCAAGGGAGTCCAGGAGCGAGACACTGTGCCAGGCAACATACCTGCTGGGTGACTATTTTCCATCAAACTCTTAGGAAACTCACAATTTTTACTGAAATATTTTGGGGTTCTGCTTGGGCTTTGGAGGAACATCAGCCCAAGGTGTTGTGGTTGTTGCAGGTGTGGGGTTAACTCATCCCCGGACTCCTCAGGCCTCTCCAGGGCTCCTCCCATGTGCATTTTGTACATCTGGCTGTGTGTGAGCACATCTGGCACAGCCTCAGCCACCAGAACTCTGGTTGAGAGCACTCACAGCTCTTGGCTGAGCAAGCTGGTCACGAGCCAATTCCCAGCAAAGGATGTGAATCCTTCTGGAGGAGATGGCCAGAGGAAAAGGAGGAGGTTTGGGTTCATGCTAGTCCCTGCTAGACCCTCAGCAGAAGGAATTATATGGTGTTGGCACAGAGAAACCTGTACTGTACCACTCCTCTAGAGCAGAGCACCTCCCGGTCCAGACGGGATGAGTGGCCAGGAGCCAGGATCACATATGGGCAAGTCGGATGGAGATAGACAGAACCTCTGCACCTGGACCTGTTTTTGACCACATAGCAAGGCAGTTTGTGGTGTCAGGCCAGGGATGCTCTGTGCCATTGGTCAGTCTCATCCTAGCCAGACCTCATAGCGACAGTGCAATTTCTCACATCAGATCTCTCTCAAGTCACCATAAAGTGACTGTCAATGAACCTCCACAGCCCTGGGACTGCTCTGTTCCAGTATTTTGATTTTTACCCTATGCTGCTGGTGGCCATGGGGTTCCTGTCCCCACCAGCTCTGCAAACACACTTGGCCAAAGGGGATTTGGGGAAGGCAGGTCGTGGGGGGCTGGAGGAGCAGCCCACAGCGGTGCCAGGAACCCTGAAACTGAGACCCAGTGGGGCTGAGGCCAGGAGGTCACCGTGACTCACTTGTTTATCCTGTCCCAACCGATCCTGTCCCTGCTCTTCCTATGGATTGCTCTAAATTCTTGGCTTGGGTGCCTGCAAGTGGGGAACTTTGCACGTGGGAGGTGATGGAGCGACAGGGATTTTGTCCGAGGGGTAAGCAGCCTCTAGGTGACTGACACCATGTTTTTCCATGGCCGCCAAACAATAAAAAAAATTCACTTGAACAACAGGAAAAGAAACAGCCATGGGGATTAATTTGAGCTGCAAAGTTTAAATCTGATGGAAAATTCCCACTTCTGTGGGTGAGCTCAGACAGAGCCCATGGCTGTCTGCCTGGACACCAATGACAGCTCAGTGCAACACTCATTGCCACAGCAGGTTTTTTTTGATAGGTGAATATCTCTAATTAAACAAAAAAAAGAGTTGTATTTTATTATATTTATACTTATAG